CGCCGCCCAGCGGCTCCGCCGCGTCACCGGACGCGCATCAGCACCGAGCTTGGGGCTGGCACGACACGGGGGTGGCACGGCACGGCATGGAGCAGGGCATAGGGAATGGCATGGTCCTGGCACAGCACGTCATGGGGCTGGCAGAGCATGGGACTGCCATGGGGTTGGCATGACACAGGGCTAGCACAGCATGGGACATGGTGGCATGGCACGGGGCTGGCATGACATGACATGGCACGCAGCACGGCACAGCACTGCACGGGGCTAGCACAACATGGCACAGTATGGGGTGGCACAGCAAAGCACTGCACAGTCCAGGGTTGGCACAGTCTGCCTCACATGGTACAACCAAGATCTATTTCAGATCTATTCTATGTAAGATCTATTTCAGGACCGTTACTAGTTTCACTACAGCTAAAAGCTTGTGGCGTTCATAAGATGCCCAAACTTGACTGGACAGAGACTGCCTTTTCACAAGGAGTCACATGGAAAAGACGAGGGGTGATGGAGACAAGTTGCTTCTGGAGATACTCTGATTGAACTCCAGAATAAATTTGTTTACCATGAGATCAATCAGACTTTGGAACAACCTCCCAGGGGAAGTGGTAAATTCCCCTACACTGGTCAGTTTTAAGAGTCAGCTTGAGAGGGTGCTGACTCATTTCATTTAAATGATACTTTCATCTTGGGAGCTTGGACTAGATAATCCCTGTGGTCCCTTCCAACCTGGTATTCTGTGATTCTGTGAACCCAGCATGGCAAAGAATGGCACGACACAGGGCTGGAACAGCGCAGCACAGCATGGTACAGCATGGCACAGCATGGCCTGGCCTTGTTTAGTGTGACATGGCACAGTCTGGCCAGGTACACCACCATCCTGCTGTATGTTGTGACACTGCAAAGCCCAGCATGGCTCAGTTGGACACAGCACAGCTCACTACCGGGACAGAGTGGTCCCAGTGTGGGGATGCTCCGGCCACCACCGCTCTCCAGCCCCCAGCAAAGACTGAACAAGGGGAAGCTTTCTGTAGGAACAAGGGGACTCTGTGTGCAGCCCTCGGTGCCACCCGGCTCCGCTGTCCCGGGGTCATCCGCCCCATCATGTGGCCACTGGCGTCCCGGTGACACCGCGCTCTCCTGCCTCACTGGGGCTTTGTTCACTGCCATGGGGGACAAGTTGTGCCGAGGATGGGGACAAGTCATGCTGGGAATGGGCACAGGAGCCTGGTTTCGGGGACTGCCATACTCACACATGCTGCCAAAAACTCGAACCTCCCGTGCCTTGGAGCGACTGCTCAAGATTCACCTGATTACGTGCCAGGGATCAACAACATGCTGAGAAGTTTGAAAAAAAAAAAAAAAAGCCCAAAACCCCAAAAACCCCAAGACATCTCTTTTGCTTACCTTGTGCTTCTCGTTGGGCCGGAACATGCGGCACAGCTGGGGCACATGGCGCAACCAGGGCAGGGTTTGGCCAAGTCCCGGCAGGCGTGCCGGCAGAAAAGGGGGATATTTGGGGTTGCTTTCTCTTTTGCTTTTGGTAAAATTGAGGCATGCGATCACGTCTCACGCTCTGCCCTGCCTGGGAACAGCCGCCCTTCGGCGAGCGATTCGAACAGGAAACAACGCCGGGTGCAGGGAGCTGCGCTGAGGGCCGCCACCATCCCGGGGGAAGTAATGCATTGGGTGCTGGGGGACCAAGCAGCCGGGAAGGGCAGCGGAGCCCTGGATCCAGCATGGGACATCGCAGGTGGCTGATGCTGGGATGGCTGCTGGCAGCGCTGGCGGCGCTGGCGCGGGGCGGTAAGTGCTTCTGCGGCGCTGGGAGATGAGAGATAACTGCAGAAAACTTTCAATGAGCGATTTGGGGGGCGATAAGGCCCTGGGGAGGTGTCACTGCGTTGGAGGTGCTTGCCAAAAACCACAGGGACAGAGTAAAACCGGGGTGAATCCTCGACAGTGGCGAGCAGGAGCTGGGGCGAGCAGCACCAGCCAGTGCACATCCCCAGGGAGCAGGGAAATGGGGTTTTTTGGGTGAGAATCCCCCGGTCGAGCAACGTGGTGATGGCTGCGCCACTGCTCCATCCTGACCTTGCCCGACCCACTGGGATCTGGGGAGCAGGATCCCCCAGCCAAATGCCTCTTCTGCAGGCACCACCACGGCCCCTGGTTTCTCCTGCTGGAAGGAATGCAGCCCCCGTCGGTTCCTCTGCTCCTGGCCACCCCATGGCCCTGCTGGCAACACCTCCTATGTCCTGACACTCTGGTGAGTTGGGTACTGCATCCCAGGGAACCCATGGGATGGGGACACACATGGACATGTGGGGACATGTGCCCTTGGCATCCACTGCCCCATCCGGCTCCAACGTGGTGCCCACTCCCCCCACAGCTACACTACGCGCCGGCTGTGCCAGCGGTTTGAGGCGGGCGCAAGGACGACGTACGTCCTGAGCCGTCACCGCATCTACGTCCTCACCAATGCCACAGCCTGGGTGGAGGCGCACTGGGGAGGCCACGTTCACAGAACCCCCAACCTCACACTATACCTCAACGAGGCCGGTAAGTTGCCCGCGGGGGCTGGTGCTGGGTGCCAGCACTGACACCGATAAATGCAAGACCACCGTGGCTTTACAGTCAAACTGGATCCACCCCTCATCGGAATGCCTTTCACCAAGACTGGCGGGTGGCTACACGCGCCACCTAC